AAAAAAAGAAAGAAAAAAGACTGGGTACAAGTACGAGCCAGCGCATGTGATAGAAGGCGACTTGTGGAAATAAATGGCACACAAACACTTACAGACTTGATTTTTCGCTTTCAAATCGGTTAATACTCAACGTCATCCTCTTCCTCTTCTGCTTTGACTGCCTGATTTCGGATTTGGTCCTGATTCTTATAGAGTGACGCTACTTGTGACGATGTCGTGGCTTCTTCTCCCTTTTTGTCTTCCCTTGAATATCAAGTCTTGTTTATCAAAGGTGCGGTATCAGCACTACCTGATCCTAAGGAAACGAGGAAAACGAAGGGATATTCCTTTCTCACTATCTACAAGTCCTTTTGCAGCCATATGACGCGGAGATATGGATAGATCAGCACATTTAACCTGTATACCATAAGGCATTTGTGAAGAGACAATGAAATTATTTTGAGACAGACCTCGAACACAATGTTAGGGTCAAACCACACGTCCGGCTTCAACGATTCATCGTAAGCATAATAGGTGCGAGCCTAAAGCAAATGCGATTACACGGTGTTTCCGCCTTTCCAATGAAAGACATTACCATCTCGACTTTATATGGCTGCAACAGTTGATATTGCGTTTTCAAATCTTCATCACTGAATCCAGTACCGATCTGCAATTCAGCTGCTATAAGACCAAGAACTTTGGCGCATGAAAGTGCAGTTACAAATTATTGTGATAAAATGAAGCCTTAAAGAATGCGACTGAGGTGACTGAGAACTGAGAGGTCAGAAAAAAAGAATTTCTCTTCACACCTTGCATATACTTTGAAATTCTTCCGAGTCGGGATCATAACAGGCAAGAAGATATCCTCCATAGACACCGGTTCGTTTTCCTGAAAATAGAAAATACACAAGTATAATAGATCCAAAAACCTTGAACCCATGTGGGCAAACCGCCTTACAACTGATAGTGCATTTCCTTAGAACGCGACTTACACAACCCATCGAGAAGGGAAAAATGCTGTCCAAAATGAAAAAAAAAA